ATGGTAAATTGCAGTTTCAAGCTCCTACTATCTCCCTGGATCCTCCTCTGCACCCCCACCAGACCCCCTCCACGCTGGAGACCATTTCTACCTCCTCCCTGTTAAGCAATTAGAATTTTAATGTCTGGCATTACAGGTCTCCACGATCCTTTTCCAATCAGCTCTCTTTTGAAAACAAATCACTTTGTCTACACAGTGCTATTGGTTCCCCCCAAGAACCTTAGAAGACTGGGCTGAACCCAACTGGCGGTGGCTGTCTGTGCAAGTTTAAAGATCAACATGGACAATTCTGGGTTCCATGGCTGGCTGTGGCTTTTGAGACAATGGCAGCAATTCCAGGAACCTGCTCAGTTATCAGTCTCCATGCCATGAGTTCAGTGCAAATACTCTATTGAGGGTGAAGGTACTGGACCCTCCATGTCTCTACCTCTTGGGTGAGGCTACTGCTTACCCCGTCAGCCTCCACCTACTCTAGTAATACGATAACAACATTAGCTCACTGCCTGCTTGAGACACAAGGGTTGGGGAGGACTGGTGCCAACTGTCCACTGTAATATATCCCCATCCACATTACCATAGGGCACATTATAAGAGGGTTTGACTTGAATTATCATTACCATACTCATTTTACAGATGAGCAAACTAAAGCATAGAGAATTTGCTTAAAATGTTAAGGTCAAAGCAAGGATTCAAACCCAGACAAGCTTACAGCAGAGTCCATGATTTTACCACTGTGCCTCTCCTCTGCTCTACAAGATTAGGTGCAACCTACTTTACTATGACACACCAACAAAAGATTCCAACGACAGTCAGTAGTGGAGATACTGAATATATAAAAATGTCAGNAACATGGCACAGAAGCAAAGAAGTCAAAGGCTGGAAGCCCAGGCATCTCTGACCTGCTCTCAGAGTTGGTGCCAGCCACAGTGGGCACATTGACCTGAAGTTACTGTGGCTGTATTAAAAACTTTAAAAAGCAAACTTAAATGCATTTTCTTCTAATAGGGCAATGCAGAAAAGAAGTCTGGAAAACCTAAGAAGCTGTTCAAAGATGCGCCAACACCGTCATTTGGTGCTGTTTGAATCACTGTTTGTAACTGTCAGTCAATGATTCAATATCGAAGTTAAACAAATTAATGCACTTGAGGATTTGTGCACTTTTCTCTATGTTATCCAATAAAACGTTTGGATAAAATAGCAACCACCCAGACGTCTTCAGTGCACTCTTGACAGCCTGGGCTGCCCTTCCTCCTGCTGTGTACTAAACGTTTGTGTCTCCCCCAAATTCATATGACCCCCAAGATGACAGGATTAGGAGGTGGGGCCTTTGGGAGATGATTAGGCCACAGGGGTGGAGGCCACATGAATGGGATTAGTGCCCTTACAAAAGGGACCCCAAAGAGCCCCCTCCCCCTTCCACCATGTGAAAAGGCTCCATTATGAAGCAGAAAATAAGCCCTCGCTAGATACCAAATCTGACCTTGATCATAGACTTGGAGCCTCCAAAACTGTAAGAAATAAATCTGTTATTTATAAAATAAAAAGAAAATAAATGCCACATCTATTTCTCTTAATAATGTCAAATCAATTTCAACCAAAACTAAACAAAGACCCTGGAGGAATCATGGTCTTTTAACTATGATAAGATAGAAAGAAGCATAATGGTCCCACAAATTAGTCTAATTTTTGTCTTGCTTTTCCCACTGCCACTGTTTAATAAAATAAAGACACAATTTTGCATTGTTCTCAGAAAGAAGCTAATAATAAAAATTGCTAACTCTGAGTACTAACTGTGTGCCAGGCACTTTTAAAAATATTTTACATGGAATTATTCTTTTAATCGTCATAATAATTTTTTAAATTATTCTCTTAATCTGTACCAGTAAAGTCCTACGGGTTGTTAAAATACTGAAATATTTCTGTATTGGATGGTAAATTGCAGTTTCAAGCTCCTACTATCTCCCTGGATCCTCCTCTGCACCCCCACCAAACCCCCTCCACTCTGGAGACCATTTCTACCTCCTCCCTGTTAAGCAATTAGAATTTTAATGTCTGGCATTACAGGTCTCCAGGATCCTTTTCCAATCAGCTCTCTTTTGAAAACAAATCACTTTGTCTACACAGTGCTATTGGTTCCCCCCAAGAACCTTAGAAGACTGGG